CTGGTTACCCTACAAGTGTGGTGACTGGTGCCCAGTCACTCGTGGGTCATGAAGTGGCAGTCAAGGGCTAAGATGGCAGAACAGTAAGAGAGAAGGAAGCTGGGTTCCAGACGACTAAAGAGCTGCTGTGGTAGAGACGGACGCTCCCGCTGGGCTAACATGCGAGAGTAATGAGCTTGTGTCACTGTTATCTCGGCCTGACTCCCTGAAGTCCAGATTTTAGCCCCTGATGAGCTCTCCTGACACCATGTCCTCTTGTCAATCAGTCAAATCGAATCCTACAACATCTAAGATACAACCGTGCCATATCGGTGGCTTCAGTCACCACCACCTAGATGCCTGTGACCTTCAGGCTGCCCCAGCCTGGTTTTGGTAGTTCACTGGACTTCTCCACGCAGTTGCTGTCCTTTCACCAACCCGCCTCCCCATCTCAGGAAAGGGCGCCTCCCTTCCCTGAGGTCCCTGTGATTTCCCTTCCTCCCACTCCATGTCTCCCACATCCACAAGATCCTAAAGCCACTATTCTGCCTCCTAAAAAGAATTTACTCCTCCACTCCACCTCCAATGTCACTGTCCTATTTCAGACCCTCGTCCATTGCGACCACATCTCTGCCTCCAGTCTCCACCCTACGGCCAGTCCCTGCCCTCTTTCAAACCTTCCCAGGACTCCTCTTGGTCTCTAGGAAAAAGTCCAAGCATTCTGGGCAAACATGACCCCCTTGCCTTCTGCCACTTCGTCTCCCGGCCCTTCGTCCCGCCCTCAGCACCTTCTCCTACAGGATACTACATGAAGAATTTGCCATGGTGCCAGTAACAATGTGATTCTGCTCTTGCCTCTGTCTCAAATGCCCTCCCAAACTCCACTGTTTGGTAAATTCTTACTCCTTCTGCAAGGTCAGGCAAAGGTCACCTCCTCCATGAGGCCTTGCCTGATTGCTTCCATGAAAGCAGCCTGTGGACCTCTGATGTGCGACTGCAAAACTTGCCCATTTGACACGGTGCTGGTGTCACAGGCGGTGAGCAACTTGCAGAGGGGTTGATCCCATTTTATTGGAATCCACTGTAATGTTTGCACAGAAAAGAGGCCCAACACACAACATTATTACCCATTTACTAAGCCCCTACTATGTGCCAGATCCTGAGCTAGATGCTTTTTACCTAAATTATTTTATATAAATAAATTCACCCTCCAGGAGAGATGAGACTGAGATCCAGAGAGACAGGGCGCTGCCTCAGGTCACACAGCTTGTGCACAGCTGTGTCAGAGACTGGTTTTCTTTCTGCCACACCTAGGTCTCCCTCAGGATCTGGCCACCCCACTGTCAGCCCCGACATGGTCAGCAAGGAAGTACCAATCTCCTGGGCTAACCAGACCTGAATATGGAAAAAGCCTCTAGTCCTTTATTCAGCGAGTAAGTTGGGATTTCTTAAAAAGGAACTTTTAGTAGGAAACCAAGGAAAAGCATACACACAAACACACCATCTTTTTTTTTTAAACAAAACAGATGGGCAAGTTCAGGTCCTCCCTCTGGGGTGTTACTTCCTCCTCCCTGAAACCAGGAGGGAAGGAGTGGTGTCACACACAGATCATTGTCAGTCCTCATATCCTGTGATTCTGGTTAGTTTCTCCGATGGTCGTGGGCTGCAAATTTTGTTGGGAAGGGCAGTACACTAGGGACACAGCCATGGGAGGAGGAGCATGGGTCATGCTCATCAGCCCCTTCCCCTTTACAACTTGGCATGAGAGGTCCAAAGGGAAAGAGAAGACTTGTCTGTCCAAGAGCGTCCTCCACACGCCTCTTCTGGGTCCTGACCTGAGGGTGGAGCTGGGGCTAGTTAGGCCTACAGCTTGGGGTCCAGACTGCATGCTTCCCTACAAGGGTGGTGTTCCCTCTCTTGGCCTCAGGGCACCCACGTTTTCCCCTCCGTGAGCCATCCAGTCTGGCCTCACAGGCCCCGGTTCCTCTTTTCCACTACAGCCAGGTTGACCCTCTGGAAAGCCCCGCTCAGCCCGGACACAGGAAGGGGAAAGGGGAGGCTTACGGGCGAGTTCCTGCAGAGGCTCAAGCTCTCAGCTGTAGCAGTCTGAGCCTGTCATTTCCTTTCCCCCGCCCACCCAGCTGGGAGGCCCAGAAGTTTCATCACAGCCCAGTTGTTGCCTTATAAGGGAAGGGCCTCCCAAGCCTCTCCCTGGGGCCCTGGCTGGCTGGTGGAGAGCCTGGCTGGCCTCAGGGTGTCCTCCAGGCACCAGGAAAGGTGGGGATGTACCAAACCCCAAGTCAGCCACAAGTGTCCTGGGCTGAGCATCTATCTGAATTCACAGCCTCTTCAGAGAAAAAGACGACTTGTCCTTTTTCCCAGGTCAGGACCCCAAGGGGTCCAATCCCAGATCCTGACACTAACTTCTAGTCTCTGAGGCAAGTTGTTTTAAGCCTCAACTTCGTAACCTGTAAATGGAGTGAACACAAATATATCTTCCTCATGAGGCCCCTGTGGTGACAGTGGGAGACCAATCCAGGCCTGCCAAATAGTAGGTGCCCTGTGAGGTCAGGCTGCTGGCATGCATTAAACATTTTCTCTGAGGGAGGCCACAGGCTAAGTGTTCCAACAGCAACCCTGTAAAGGGAGAATTAGCCCATTTTACAAACAGGAAAACTTGAGGCATAGTTTGCCTAACGTCATTCATTCATGGCTGGGATTTGAATCTAGATGTGTCTGCCTCCAAATCTAAAGTCATATGTTTTTTCTACTTATTTCCTGGTATTACTTCCAGGAATTTTGTTCCTTTAATAAAATTATGACAACAGGGAGCAATTTCCACCACAACCTCTCCACCCTCCGTGTCTGCCCACAGAGCCTCTTCATAACATCACAAAAATCTTCACTAGAGTGAGTTTATGTGGCCTTTTCTGACAGCCTTGTTCTCATGTCTCACATCCTGTCTCACATCAGGGACATAACAGGTCAGGGAGGCAGGAATACAGGACTTGGATAAGGGAACAAAACATAGTGGCTCCAGGAAACTTCCAGGGCCCAGGCTCAGGTAGGTGGGGCCCCCTCCCCCAGCAGTACGTCCCCTTCTGTGCTGGGTCCCCAAGGTGGCCAGCCACTTGGTGGTTTGCAAAACCCTGCATTGTAACTACCTAGAACTTCATGTCCCTAAGACACAGCCGCCAGTATGCAGAAGAAGGCTCTTCTCTGAAGAGGTCTCAAGCCCCTAGGACCAGAGGGAAAGGAAGTTCTCACATCCTTCCTCAGGAGCCACTAACACCTTCTCTGCTGCTGCTCCCTTCAAGGGGGCCCTCCGGAGGAAACTCATACCTGGGCCCATCAATAAAGGGGCTCCTTTCTCTTACCTTGGTTCTTCCTCACAGATAAAGGGCCTGTGAAGGTGAAGTGATTTGCCTGGGATCCCCCAGCTTCTGTAGGCCACTCACTCAGTATGGCTGTCACAAGAGACCATTGGCAGGGGAATTCAGGAGGGACATGAGGGTCAGAGCCACAGTCAACAGGCCCCGGGTCAGGTGCTTCCTGTTATGTTGGCCACTGGGCCTGTCCAGCAGCCCTCCCAGAGAAGGAAGGGAGCCGGCCTCTGGAGAGACAGCAGTGCTTTCCCACATCAGGACATCAGGGAGGGTGAGGCACTGTAATCACCCTTTCATGGGTGGGGAAAGTGAGGCATCCTGAGGCTGAGACTCACCAAGGTCCCGGGGGGGACTCGAATCTTGGCAGCTTGATTTAGAGTTCTGTCCACTGGCCCAAGGGCTTCCAAAGAGCGCTCAGTGTAGCCCTGGGGTCCTGCTGAAATGTACTGGGATGCCATGGGCATAAACCAGGGCCTAAGCTCACCCCTAACCAGGACTAGGCTCTGAGATTAAAATAATGGCTGGAATCATTTTGAGCCATCATAGGAAACACCTGTTCAGGCAAGAATCATCAATGGACATTAGATCTAGGGGGAAATTTTGACGAGTGTAACATATTTGTGCATGGTCTTAAAATGTCTCCCAGATATTTTATTAGTTACAAGAGGAAAAAAATCATAACTATACAGGAAAAAACACCAGACACCTTGACCAAGTGACCAAAATTAACATCACCAATGAGGGGTGGATGGAGGTCATGTGTCCCAGGTGTGATGCCCTGAGGAGGCCCTAGTAGCAACTGTGCAGTTTTCTGGCCAAGAATCCATAACCTCTGTCTAACTGTGAGGACGCCTCAGGGAAACTCCAAGTGAGGAAAGGTCTATTAAAAAAGGCTGGGAGAGAGGACAGTATTCTTCAAAACTGTCCACATCGTGCAAGATAAAGAAAGGCTGTGGAAACATTTCAGATGAATGGGGGCTAAAGAGACATATATGCAATATCCCACCCTACACTGGAGGAAAAATGTAATAAAGGGTGTATTACTGGGTCAAATGACAACAGTGAAATATGAACAGTAAGAATTGTATCAGTGTTAAATTTCTGCAAGTTGAAAACTGTACTATGGTTACATGAGAGAATATAGTTATTTTTAGGAATACACATGAAATATTTAGGGGTAAGGGGCCATGTTAACCAACTCTCCAATGATTCAGAAAAAAAAAAGTGTATGTTAAAGACAGAAAGTGCTCAAAAAGATAAACCAATGGGTCAGTCTGGGTAAAAAGTATACAGGTGTTCTTTCTACTACACTATTCTTACAACTTTTCTCTTATGTTAGAAATCATTTCCAAATAAAGTCTTTAAAAATGGGAAAGCATCATTCCTTATGATGCTTAGTGCCCAGCCTGTAAAAACAGGGGCAGGAGGGGGTGAATCTGGAGGGCCTGGCTGCATTTAGCCAAGACGGAGAACTGCTGGAGGGCAATGCCCCCAGCCCAGGCCGCGGGGAGAGGGCCCTAGAAGACAGTTTGGAGGACCGATGGTGCCACCGTTCAGCTACAGCCTACCCTCGGTGTCCGGGAGGCCAGCCCTGGAGCTGACCCCACACTGACAAACAGGCTTGCAGCAGAGAAGTTCCATAAAAAGGGATTTATTGACAAACTTTAAGAAAGGTGCTTCACAGACAGAAGACATGGAACGCCATCCTCCTCGAGGAGGGAGGCAAGGCAGCCCCTGCGTATTCCCACTCCTCCTCCCCTCCCCTCAAAGCTGGCTTCCCCCTGGGGCCCGGGCTGCCAGGCATGGGACCCCGCAGGAACCAATGGCATTAGGCCACTAAGGTGGCCCCAGAGCTACCAGCTCAGCCTGCTCACTTCTCAGAGAAAAGGGAGGCTCTAGTCGTGGAAGCAGGTGACTTAGCTAAAGCCCCAGGCAGCCCAGGGTGCTGGTGGGGGAAAGTTGTTCCCCAAATGGCAGGGGGCCACATGACTGTGGGTACCTGATGGCATTCTTGCTCTCATACTGGAAACAGATGGAAGGACAGGCGGACTGTCACATGGGAGCCTACTGTCCAAGGAGGGAGGCTTGGGGAGGCCAAGGGGGGCACCTAAGCCATGACACTGCTGCACACTCCCACCCCTAACTAACTAGTGCGGCCACAGCGTGGACACCCGCCCCTCCCTCCCCACCACCACCCTCAAGCACAAAGTAGCTGTAAAGAAAGCATCGACCCGAGCCGGCAGGCCTCAGTGGGCATAACTGGCTGTTGAGGGCAGGGGGTGGAAAGGCCAGAGTGGCCAGCAGTGATCCTCCCTCTCCTTTCTTTCAGTAAACAAAAGTGCACATGTAGAAACCCCCCAGCAGGCCTTCAGAAGCAGTTCCCACCCCCACAGACCCCAGGGAGACTGGCTGCGCCACTCAGGGACTGAGGCAGAGCCCACCGTCCAGCCACTGCAACAGGATGGCACCTGGATGTGCTCCCCAAGCCAGGGATGCTGGGGGGCAGGAGCGTGTGAGGAGAGGCCCAGGGTGCAGGTGTGGACCAGGGTCCCCTACAAGGTCAGGAGGAGCAGTCCATCTGGGGCCTGAGCTAGAAGAGAGGGGTGAACAGGGAAGAGGGAAGTGGTTTCAGGCACCAACATACCCCTATTAGCATTTGAAGAAATAACTGGAATATTGGGCCTCTTTGGGTTGAGGAGGAATCACAGAGACCCAGATATAAATCCCATCGGGGGAGGCACAGAAGTTCATGTGGCTCCTCTTCTGAAGGTTGATATATAATGAATTACATACAGAATTTTCTGATGCTCACATTAGGGCCATTCTGGGGTTCACATCTACAGGAATGTGCAAGGCTGGACACACGCTGGTCGAGGGGCAAGGACTAGACCAAGAGACCCTTCGAGTTCCTCCTGCACCCTGGAGTCCTCTGCTCACAGCTCACCCAAGGGGAAGGCCTACAGAATAGGAGACAGGCTGCACAGGAAATGGTTTTCTTACACAGCCGCCTCCACTGCCCTCTGAGGCCCTCACTGGGTGGCAGGTCTCACTCAGCTGAGGGATGAACCTGTAGCCTGGCTCCAAGTCCTCGGCAGCTACTTGGACTAGGTGGGTGGAGAGGGTTAGTTATGGTTTGAAGCTGCCTCTGCTGTGAGGCACTCTATCTGGGACTATCTGGACATGGAGGCTGTGGGTGGGGGACGCGGTGGGGCGGTGGGGAATAGGGAGGCTCAGCTGTGCTCTCTTCAGAAGTCAGGAATGTAAACTACTGGGGGTGTGAAGCGGAGAGGAGGCCACCCCCAGAAGCCCCACGAGCTTTGCCAAAGCTCTGGAGCAGATTCAGAACCACACAAGCAACCATGTATGCTCGCAGCCCGAACCCAGAGGCCAGCTCAGACGGCCAGACAGCAGCCCTGGGTAGCACGTGGCACCTCAGGACCGAGGCAGGGCCGGAAGGATACCACGAGTCTCTGCAGGTCCTGGCCAAACCCGACACGCTGATGCCTCTTCTACAGCCTGAGCAAAAGCATATGTGTTGGTAGGGCTGGGCTTTGACAGACCAGGCCAGCCAGCAGTGACCAGGTCGTGGTCCAGCAGTCCTAGGGTGCACTTCTCCTGTAGATGGTCACCAGTTCTTTCCGCTTCTCCTGTAGCCCAGGTGCTTCTGGCCTCATGTCTCCCAGATCTCTGACTTCCTGCAGGGCCTGGGTGGTCTGCCTCAGCTGCTCCACAGCCTGGCTGAGCAATGTCTCGGCACTCACAGGAGAAGGCTCACTACTCAGCACCTTGTTCAACAGTTTCTCCATCTGCTCTGAGGCCACCTGCACCTCCAGATGGGCACGATACAGCCGCTCCACAGGCTGCCGTGGATGCTGGGGGCCTTCCCCAAGCAGGTCCCCCAGGGAGGAGCAGCGGGGATGGCACTGATGCGGCAGGTCCCAGGGGGGCAGTGCTGTGGGCGTTGTGTCATCCTTTGGGGGAGTTCCTGGGGTTCCTGAGGCCTGGAGTGGCTCTTCGGGCTCAGGACTGTCATCCATGCCATTCACTGAGACCTGCGCTGGGCCCGGGGCAGGGGTCTCAGAGGCCCCAGCACTCTGGGCTGGCCCCGAAGCCTCCATTCCACCCATGGAGGCTCTCAGTTTCTCTGATAGGATCTTGGGTGGGGGTGTAGGGGGCCTCCTGCCCTCTTTGGGCACAGCCTCGGGCGTCTCAGCACAGGGCACCCGGAGGGCTTCTGTGCTCTCGGCGTCAGAGGACTTCTCGGGGCTGGAGTTCTCCCAGCTCACCTTCAGGGTGTCAGGCAGGACCCTGCTGGGGGGCTGCTCAGAGCCACCATCCTCCTGCTCTGGAGTCTCTGAGTCCTCTTGGCTCTTGAGGTGGGCCTCAGAGCTTGCTGACACAGGGGTTGGGGCTCTCTCCCCTGAAGGGGTCTCTGCTCTGTCACCAAGGTTAGTCGTCTCGGATACTGGGGAAGGCTTGGTGGGAGGCATAGGGGGCCGGACTATTTCCCGGGGCTGGGGTGCACTGACATCATTGCTGGGGGCAAACCCCGGCGGCCCGCTGTCTGGAACATCAAGGTCCAGGCGCGAGAGCCCATCAGAAGCTGCATCAGCTACCTAGTGGGGAACAGATGGGTGTCATCTCGGATACCTGGGCTTTAGGTCAGACGTGCCCACCTACAGGGTACTCCAGCCCCCAGTCTAGACTGCCCAGGCCCCCAGTCCCCAACTCTCCATGGCCTTTGCCTTGCCCTGGCTTCCAACACCACTTGATTAGAAGCTGCAGTGATTCTGATGAAGCCTCTCCTCCCCCTGTTCCCTGTTGTGGAATCTCAGGCCAGGAAGTCAAGGCCAGGATGTCCTCTCAGTGCCCTGGCCAGGCTTCTCCCAGCCAGTGAGAGACGCACTTTTCAGTGGCAATTGTACCAGCCTGGGCAGCATGGGACAACATTGTTCTAGCCCTGTTTCTGAGCCCTTCTTGGGGTATAGGTCTCCTGAGTTGTCCTGAATTCACTCATTTCTGCTTCTCCTCCCTAGAGACCTCTGTCCAGTCTGCCAGCCTCACACCCAGCCCACTTCTGCCCAGGCGTCGCCTGCCCAGCTGCTCAGCAGCTTGTGCCCACTCTCCTCGTACCATCAGATGTGGCCCCAGACAGACCACAGCGGGCCCCCGGAAGAAGACAGCTGCACCAAGCAGGCGGCTGCCCGCCCACCTGACCCCAGGGACCCACAGGGATACCCAGCAGCCACATGGTTCTGGGAGGCCTCTCCCCAAGTCCCTTGGATGGTGGGGAGGTGGGGATCCTGGCTGGACCCTCAGTCCCTTCTATGTGCACACAGGTAATCTGCCCGACACACGAGCTCAGTCACGGGGACAGTCCTTCTCTGAATTCTTCTCAGAGGGGCCCTCACCCTGTACCTCCCAGATGGCCCCCCCTCAGGCATTCCTTTTCCCTCTGGCCACTTCAGTCACTTCCTCTGCAGGCTTTTCCCTCAGCTGACAGACATGAACAGGCCGCCTCACTTCAAAAGCAAGCTCTCCAGTGACCCTGGCCCCTTCCCTTCCCCCTCTTCTCGCCCACTGTCCCCTTTCCTCCAGCAGCCCCAGCCCTGCCCTGCATGGCAGTGCTAAGCTGACCCCTTCTCCAAGGAAACATGCTGTGAATGCCACCACCTGCCTTTTCCTCGGTCCTGCCCTTGAGACCTGGCTGATCACCCCCAGGTCCCATGTCCTTCTCTCTCTGGAAGTGCCACTCACCTCTCTGGCTTCCTCTTCCTTGGCTCCCTACTGTCCCCCCATTCCCCAAAGTAGCATTTGCTGAGGTTCTTCCTTGGCCTCCAGAATTTATCCCTGCATTGGTCTGAATAAAGGCTCCCCTTGCCCATGACTTCTCCCACATTCCCTGTGCCCATGGCCTCCATTCACAGTCTCCAGGCTTGGGGCCCCTCTGACAAACTCCCTTCTCTGTTCAACCCACCGCCCCAAGCCCTGTATCGTGTGCCCGGGTGGCTCTCGCTTCCCAGGGTCTCTCCGTCAGCCCCTCCCTTTTCATCCCCTCCTGGAGCCTGAATCCTGCTTTTCCCTCCCTCAACCCAACCCACCTCCTCTGGACCTCCAATTGCCCTCTGGAACGTACCTTCCCATCATCCAGCCTGTCCCCAGGTCCGGCATTCAAGGCCTCCACAGTTTCCTCCCCCAACCCCGTCTTCCCAGACCAATCTCCAGGTCAGAGGGACTTGCACACTCTGAACTCTTCTGCCTTGAGGCCCACTCAGGCCATTCCCTCCGCCAGGGATCCACCTCCTGCCAAGTCTGCTAACCGAACCCCTTCCTGTCCTTCGAGTGCCAGTGGGTCCTGTGTGGTCCCTGCCGCCCAGCCTTGCAGAGCCCTCCTCTGTACAGAGACTAAGGCAGATCTACTTGGAGCAGCCCGTGGAAAGCTCTTTTCTCCAGCTAGAAGCTCAGCTCTCAGAAGCAAGGACTAGTCTTGGGGTCTCGGTTTCCCTCAGGCACCAGCTCTGGCTACAGCCAACACGTTCACCCAACAGGTAAAGCAGGCAGATCTATACCCTGGACACATGTGACACACAGACCTCCACACACAGGCTCCCCCTATACCCCTCAGGAAGCCTCAACACCAGGAATCTTCAGAAAAAAGATGGCCCCAAGCCTGGCCGCCACCCTAAGGAGCCGGGGGTCCCAGAGTCACCTGACCTCCCACCTGTCCAAGCTAGGGGCAAAGTCTTACCTCCTTTAGGTGGACTCTGGTAGGTGGCCGGCGCCGCTGGCCCCCACGCACCCGGTCCCGTGTCATGTGCTCCAGGACACAGCTCTTGTCTACCTTTACCTGGGAAGGAGAAGGAACGAGGTAAGTCCCCACCAGGCTTTGGGGGGGAGGAGGAAATATCTAGGCATTAACCCAACTCAGAGGCAGCCTACACCCCACATCCTGCTTACAGGGCTAGCACTCCACCCCTGGCCCTCTCTATAGGCATCTCCCTGTCCGGACCTCTGCTTTTCCCCTGTCTCTATGCTGCCTTTGTCACCCCTCTTCTGTCTGGGGCTCTCCCTCTCTGTAGCTGCCCTCTTTGCCTCAGTCTTCCTGCCTGCATATGGCTATCAGCCTTTGCCCCTCAGTCTACTGCAAATAGCAGCCTTAAGGCTCCTTTTGGGTTTGGCTTGGGGTGGGAGAGGACAGCCCATGATCCCCTGGTACCTGAAAAAGTCTTCTAGAAAAAGCCCACCCTGGTCCCAGTCATTCTCCCAGGACCCCAGGGGTTGGCCCAGAAAGAAACAGGGCCTCCACCCCTTTGGACCAGGGTGTCTGGAGGGCAGCATCTCCTCTCTGAAAATAGGAAGGGGTCAGGAGTAGCCAGGAAGCCGCACAGTAACATTCACGTGGGAAATCCAGACTGAACCGCAGGATGGCCTGTCCCTGTGAGGAGGAGGGGGGCTAAGCCTCCTCAGCCTCAGGGGCAGGCCTACCTGGGGGTTCAGATGTCTCTCACCCTCAGTAGAGGAGCTGACTCCCTTCCACCAAGCCTGTAGGCTGTGGCCCAGCCCCTGCTCATGCTCCCGTGGTCTCCAACGCCCCCAATACGTCCCATCACGCCTCGCCCACTAAATGGGGCTACTTTCCTCAGCTAGTGAAGGGCTAAGCCTGACACAATCACATAAAACATGGCATAGGAGCCATGGCTGCAAGTCAGGGGATCTGGGTCTTAAGAGGGGACTCACTGGGGATGATTTGCCCCCCTTGGGTCTCAGTCTTCTGCAGACCCCTTTTAGCCCAAATAGTTATGAATCCATGAAGTCAAAGACAAATCCTCCTTGGAGATCTGGCGCCAGGGGACCCCTGCCTGCCCAAGTCTGATCATGGCCACTGCTGCCACAGACTACACTGTGCCACCCTACAGCACAGGGGGCTGGGTGGTCCCTACAGACCTGGGGAGGCCCTGGCTGAGGGCCCACCCAGCCTGGACTCCAAGGCCAAAATGTACAGTGAGTTTTGGGGCTCTCAGCTCACTCCCCAGACCTTTCTGGCCTGGGCCCACTTGCTGTTTTCAGCTGAGGATGGATTGGAAAGGATGCATGGCTGCAACCAGTCAAATTCTACCCTACCACTTACCTGCTTTCTAATTTAAAACAAGTTATTTTCCTTACACCTCAGTTTCTTCATCCATACCTTCTACCACCTACTTTGAGGGGTGTTGTGAGGATTAACAGAGGTAACAGTAGCAGATGCCCCAGTGTTTGTAGCAGTGCTGTAAGCGAGGGCTTGTCTGGGGTTGGGGGGACAGGGTCTTCTCTGTGATCACACATGGTGGGCAAGGGGACGCGGTGCCGTCCACAGGACTGCATCGCACCTCATCGAAAGCCTTGTTCTTGCCTCTGTTGATCCCTTCGTTGAGAGCTTTGATCCAGGATTCTTTCTCCTCCCCACTGGTTGCTTGGAATTTGATGTCACTGACCTGCAGAAGGCAGGGGTAGGGTGGACAGCAGCTCTTCAGTGGGGCTCACATTTGGGTCTTAAGAAAGCTTCCCAGCCCAGATCCCAAAGTCTGCCCCAGCACAGCTGGTCAGGAGCAAAACACAACAGCAGGTCTGGCACCAGGGCTTCAGGGCAAGTGAGAGGGCAGATCCAGCAGAGAAAGGGCTCTCCCAGCATGCAGCTGCCAGAGATTTGGATTAGAATCAGCCTTGGCCCACGGTAAGAGCCCAGATCTGGTCTCACCCCATGTGACTTCTTCCGGCCAGCTGCCTGACCCCTGGACTTTAGTTTTCTCTGTGAAGGAGGAATATTCCCCTTCCATGCCTACACCAGGCTGAGTACATGACAGAAGTGACAGGCATGAGGGGTGCCTGCTGGCAAAGGCTCATTGGAACCAGGGTCCCCTGCAGCTCCCCAGAGCCCCACAACCAGCCCTGGCCAAGTGAAAAAGTCCCAAGGTCGCCTTTCTGGCCTTGGATCATAGATTGTGGAGAGAGAAGGGCCCTGGGGGTCAAGTCCAACCCCTTCATCATACAGATGAGTAAACTGGCTCACCAGATAGGATGGGACTTGGCCGAGGTAGCCTAAAGTAGTCTCATGACTCCTGACTCTATACCCCACCCCACTCCACCTTATGGGACCCTTTGGGCAGGACCTCTGAGCTTCTGTATTAGAATCAAAGGGCAGCTCAGAAAGCCCCTCCCTGTTAGGACCCAAGGTCAGACAGAAAACGGTGGAAGAGTGAGGGCATCCAAACTGTGGGGCCACCTTGCACAGTGGACACAGCCATAGGGCCTCTGAGCTGGACAGGCCACCACTTACACCTGGCTTGAGCCTCAGTTTTCTCATCTGTAAAAGGAGAACACCAGCATGACCGGCCTTGGGGAGCCGTGACGATCAATGATGTATCTGAAGTGTTGAATCTGGAGCTGAGCAGAGTGGGTGCTCAGTAATAGGAATTACCATCATTGCCTTTCTTCTAGACAAAGCAGTCCTGGTTTGCTCATCTGGAAAAAGGGATTAACGCCCATCACGAAGCAATGCTGAGAGAACCAAACATGACTAAGAGCCAGGGCTTTGCACATAGTAGGCACTCAGAAAACAGTTAATGAATGAACCAATAAATGAATGAACTGGCCCAAGGTTCCTTCCCTTGTCCTGTTTTTGGGCCACTGCCCACTCTCTGACCTCAAGATGCCCTAGTTCTTGGCTGGGCGGGTCGCCAGCCTGCCCACCCCTGGGCCTGGTGTTAGATAGCGCCTTCGCTCCGGCTACCCTCCCAGTTATGTAACATCACAGTCGCCTGGCCCCTCAGCATCCTTGTTATATAACTTCCTCCTGGCTGCCGCCTCCTTCTCCTTGCACAGGGCCCAGGGTCCCACCCACCTCCCCATGCCAGGCACAGCCAAACACTCATTTGCATGACCAGCGTAAATTCGATCCTGGCAGCAGATCTGCAGTTAAGTCAGAAACCTCAGGGCACCTTGGCAACTGCCTCTTAGCCCAGCCTTCGGGGCTGCCAGGGGCAGAGGGAGGGATATCGCTGCATCCCAGCTCCACAAGGGTCCACCCAACCCTGTGACTGTGATGGGGCTGCCAGAAAGGCAGCCCAGGGCCGGGTACCCAGACCCCAGCTGCTGCTCCTACTCACAGGTCCCAAGTTGGTGGGGCCCCTGCCTGGTGCAGGACTTTAGCATCCCAGCGGGCTTGAGAGGCATACATTTGAACTCAGCAACAGATGGAGCAAGAGTGAGGCAGAGAAAGGGTGCTGGCTTGGGAGTCATGCTCTGCGTTCTAGTCCCATCACCCTGCGTGGCCACGGGCGCAGGAGCAGGACCAGCGGACCCCCCACCAAATGCTGCGCTTCCCTGCTGGCCAGCCTCTTGAGGCAGGCACTGGGGGCTCAGCCTCTGTCCTCTTCTGCTCCCTGTGATCTCAGGGGCCTCCTCTGCTGGCTACAGGGCTCCCCTAGGAGGGCAAATGGGGGTGAAATGGGACCCAGCCCCACCATAAGGAACCCTGTACTCCTGGCTGAATGTGCCAGGCATCCTACGGGAGTGATCAGAACAGGAACAAGTGAAATACCAAGAAGCTGCTCCTCCTGCCCCCTGACCCCCATGTCCTGAAGAGCCACAGGCTGCACAGGTCCCTCCCAGGCCCTTCCAAGAGGCCCAAGGGCACATGCCCTGCTGGGAGTTTAGGAGCTAACAGGACTGGCCCAAGCACAGGCTCACAGAGCCTGGGAATGGGGGTGGAGGCACAAAATGGGAGAGAGGAACAAAGTGGGAGGGGGAGAGATGAGGCAGGAAAGAGGAAAGGGCCGAGCTGGCTGAGACCGGCAGGGCAGCAAGGCCCCGCAGAGGCCACCCTGCTTCCTGGCAGCATTTGCCTGTGACCTCATGGCAAGGGCGTGGGGATGGGGAGGTGAGGGGGGAGAGGGACGTGCAAGACACTGGAGCCTTTGTTTATTTGATTAGAGAGGAAAAAAAGGCAGCCTCAGGACCAGACAGCCAGGGTCGTGTGACCTTCTGGCCAGCTGGCAGCCTCTCTGAGGATGGGGAACACCCAGGGCGATAAGAGAGGAGGGTGAGAGAATGTGGGGGGTGTGGTGCTCTGGGCGGCTCACCACCTGACCTCTGGAGAGCCCCTCTCTAAGAGCCCCTGGGGCGGCAAGGGTCAGGGGGCCAAACTGGAACCAGGGTGTACTGCCCTCCCACAGCTCCACAGCCCCCACCACTTGTTCCCTAGCCCCCCACCTCCCCGACTGACGGTCCTGCTCCCAGAGGCACCCGGAGCCAATCTGGGCTCTCAGCAGCACTGGAGGATGGAAGGAAGGGTGCTGGCCAGGGCAGCCGAGAACGCAGCGGCACTGAGAGCCCTCTCTGAAGGTGACGTCCACCCCGAGCTGGGCCTGGCCCACCTAGCCCACCACCAGCTGACTCTCAGAGCTGGGGACCGGAGGGGGCCCACAGAGCAGTGCTGGCAGAGGAGGGAGAAGAAGGGCCCCCTCCACCCCACACCGCGTAAGCTCACCAATAGACACACAGAAACCCAGACAGACCCACAGCCAGCCAGTCTCACCTCCAAAGAGAGGTGCACACACATGGGCCAGGCCCACAGGCGGCAGACCTTCATACGAAACATATTCTGCATGTCTCTCAAACACACATACACAAATATGGCACCAGCACAGTACTGGCTACAGGGCCTGAAATACCAAAACATAGCTCTATTCCTTCTCAGAGAGCTCTAAGCAGCAGAGGTCAAGTGAAAGTCAGGGCCAGCCCAGTGGATCCTCCTGACACTGTAAACCTGGCCCCTACCCTAGGGAATACCCCCAAATTCTTAGAGCTCCACAGTTGCTTCTTTGCCCCCCACCTACTACAGAGTGGGACAGAGGGTTCATGAATAAAACACTGTAGTCTCCTCTAGAACCCAGAGCCCTGGGAACCACAGGGGGCTGGGCTCCTGACCCTTAAAGCTGGGAGAGAAACAGAATGGCCTACGGCAGGCCCAGACCAGACCCACTCCCCAGCCCCCGCCTCTGTGACTCAGCCTCACTCTGTGAGGCTCCACGTGACATGCAGAGGTTGGGGTGAGGTGCGGCCCAGCTGCAGATGGCCACAAGCTGCAGAAAGGTGCTGTACACGCCAGCCTCAAATCTGAACTCCCTCCTGACATCGGTGAAACTATGCTCCACTTCAACATTCACCCAGACTCCCTGCCAGAGAAATGCGGTACAAATAGTGAAGTTCATCTGCACACACAGCATGTCCCAGGGAAAGAAACTCTCGGGCAAGAGACCTTCAACTTCAACCAAGAAAGAAAAGCAAGGGGAGGAAAGCTGGGGGGCTGCAGGTCTCTGGGTACTGAGTCCAGGATGGAGGGCAAGAGGCGTGGCCCCCCCAGGAAGGCTGGGATGATGGGAGGCCACACCCTCCCTTCTGCCCCTGGCTACGTCAGGGTGTCAGGGGCCTGGTGGAGTGAAGACCTCCCTAGCTTTCCTGCCTCAGCCCTGGGCCTCCTGGGTCCAAGCTATGGGGGAAGACCAAGGGCCCCACCTCCAAAAGGCTACTTTCCAACTACAGCCTGGGAACGAGGCCCCAGGGCCTGGAAGGAGAAAGGGACCAGAGCACTCAGCAGAGCCCTAAATGCATCTCCTATCACCCGGGGGCTGGGGAGACCCCAGGACAAAATGAGCAAAAGGTCCAACCTGTGGTGCGCCCTAGGTTTGAGTCTCAGACACTGCACAGAGACCCCGCAGGCTGCATCCAGGAGCCCAGACTGTCTTAGCCTTCCAAGGGTGATCTTCCCAAGCCGACCCTGGCCCAGAGGGAAGTCAGGCATCAGTGAGTCCTACCTTGTTCCCTGGGGATCGCAGCAGGATAAAACGGTGTTTTCGCTTGAGAAGGGCACGAAGGTCCTGGCACTTCTCATAGCTGCCCAGCTCCACTGTTTCCACACACTTCTGCTCATCCTGGGGAGGGAGACAGGAACATGAACTGGTGATAGTCAGATGCACCCACATCTTCAAGCACCCAGGTCTTGCCCCAGATCCTGACCCCGCTCGATGACAGCATCACTTGGTCAGAGGGGGCCTCGGGCTAACCAATCAATCATCGAGATGCAGTATTCAGACCTGGCATGTAGCTGGTGCTCGGTGCTTGTGGGATGGAGGGATGGCCTCAAGGCTTACCATCGCATTAGAAATGGGGCACAAAGCCTGGAGTTCTGGGGCAGGACTGACTCAAAGGCACCTAAGGCCAAAGGAGGAAACAGTGGAAGCTGGAGAGGCTTAGAAAAGAGTACCTGTGGCCCCGTGAAGGCCTAGAGGCCAGGCAGAGATTTGTGGAAGAGGCCTGGAAGAGGGAGCAAGACATCAAAAAATAAGAAAAAAAAAAGAAGTCTTTCCAGGCCAGAGCAAAGTGTGAACAAGGCATATTTGGGGCTACATGCCCTGCCTTTACCACAGCGATCCTGAACTGACTTCCCCACTTGGCATCTCCCTCCACTGACCCTGAGCTTGAGGTGAGAGTTGACTCTCTGTGCCCTACAGAACAGAGGGCAAGGGTTCCTTCAAGGGCAGCCCCACCCCAGCCTGCCACCCCGAGGCCTATTACTCGCAGGGCAGGTGGCCAGCCTCTTCTAGGCCTTGCAGAACACTGACTGGGCTGCCGTCCTGCCTACCAGGCCTGCCACTTGAGTATTTCCTCCATGTGGGCTCTACCCACCAGGTGCCTCCCTAGCAAGCTTCCTGGAACTAGTTCCTCCTTCAAAGTTTGTCAATTGGTTCCTCTTCCAGGGGGACCCAGCTGGAAGGACTTCCTGGGTGTGCTGCATTCTCACCTCCGAGGGCAGGGAAGTAGATGCAGGCCCTGGGGTGGGGGGGTTAAAGGAATGCTATTGGACATCATGCACAGGGGCAGCAAGAGCACCCATGCAGGGAGTGCCTCGGTGCACTGCAGTTTTTGGGAGAGTACCTAGGAGGCAGTGACTCGGTTGTTTGCAGAGGAAATGCCCAGTTTCCCTCCACGATAGTCTGCATATACTAAGAAACCCGACACTTAGTGAGCACTTTGCATCCCAGGTTCTCCTGTACATCTCTATGACCCTGAAGGCTAGAGCCCGGGTATTTTGCCTTATTTTGTAGAGAAAGAGAATGAAGCCTTGGAGGCAAAGTGATTTGCCCAAGGGGCACAGACCCAAATATAAGGGGCAGGGCCAATTCAAACCTACATCCTCTGACTCCTAGGCCAGAGCTCTTCCAGCACACCACCCTCCTCGCAACCAGATCAGTTCCACAGCAACAGGCTGCTCTGGGCTCCAGGTGTGGGGCCCCAGCCAGCAGCCCCACCAGAGAATGAATTAGACACGCAAATTCTCAGCCCCATCCCTAACTGAATCCTCACCTTAGGAGAATGGGCCGGGGGATCTGGGTTTGAACAAGCCCTCCAGGTGATTCTGATGTATGCAAATGTTTGAGAACCTCTGCTTTCCCTGAGAGGTTCTCAATCTTGGTGGCACTTTGGGAGCTTTATAAACCCAGTGCTTAGGCAACATCCGAGGCCAATTCCATCAGGATCTCTGGGGGGTGGAGCCCAGACATCAGTATTTTCCAGAGCAGATGACTGTATAGCTAAGGTGGATAACTACTGACCTATTCTCTCTTCAGCCCCTCAAGGAAAGGGGAACAGTTGGCCAAGGAGACCTGATCCTTCCCTTTCAGATCCAATCAGGTCTCTCTCCCTATTTTTGCCTCCATGCATCTGTTTTCAACCCCTAGTCACCAATCCTTTCCAGGTTCTCCACTCAACACAAAGGCTAGTAAACTCCACCTGTTCCAGGAAGCTCCCCTGCCCACCACCATGAGCCCAAGTCTCAGTCCCTCCTCTCAGGTCCCCCACCACAAAGCACTTATCAGGTACCAGCATCTAGGTGCTAGGGACACTCAGCCACGGGGAAAAGCAGTCCTACCTCCCTGCTGGTCATCTCTGTCTCTCCCCTAAACTGCACATGTGCCCTCCTTTCTACAGCGCCTTCTCCCTACAATGCCCTACAAGGGAGCCCTCAAGAGGGACATACATAAGACAGTTTGCTCGACTGAATGCCTGACCCAGAGTGAGACCCCAGGAAGTCCCCTCCTTCCGGGACACCAGAGGAATGTTCTAGGATGCTGCCTGAGGAAAGACCCAGGCCTCAGAGAGAGCAGCTCACCTGCCCCATGTGCACAGCTGACCCCACCTGGACAACTGCTGGCCCAAACATACCCTCCTCTATCTGGGAACAAAACATCGGCCCCTCTCCACCCGCTGCTCCCCATGGCTGCCTGACCTGGGTCCCCCTCCCACCCGAAATGCTGAGTCATCCAGCCCCTCCGCAGCTCAGAAAAGCGGGTAACCCAGCAGGCACTGGGTGGGGGCAGCACTTTTGGAACGTCAGCTTCACTGACAGCAAAGAAACAGCCAAGAGCCACTATCACTCGCCTGGTTCCTTACATCAGAAAGAAGAATTGAATTAATAAGCATTTCTCAATTCCTACTCCTGGGCCAAGCTTCCCCACCCCAGAGTGCTAAGTTCTTGAAACTGCACTAAGGTTTTTAATAGTGATTTTTTTTAGGTGCAATTTAGATTTTCACATTTAGGGATGGCCAGATGTGGAGAGGAGGCGCAGAACAAGGCTGGCAGCGCTTGCTGGGCTGACAGCTGGGGGCCTGTCACTCAACTTACAGCAGCTGGGACTGGAAGAAGCTGTGACAACCCCCTTTATTTATTAAAAATATCCCCCTGCCACCGCCAAAGCACATCCTAATCTTGTGACAGCAGCAGTCTAGAACTTCTAGGGGCTGTCTGTACAGTTCATCCCCTTGCCCTCCCTCAGCTGCTTCTCTGCCACCCAACTCCATGAGCCTGGGCACTCAGGGGGGAGTGGCAAGGTGCTTCTCAAAAGCAGCGCCTTTAAACACTTAGATCTGGCTGCCCAACCTCTCTTGGCCTGGGACAGTTATGAATTTGCCAAGATACCCTGAGGCACACTGAGAGAGGATGATGGAAAACAGGCGGGATCCCCCTCCTCTGTCCCCTGGCCAGGCCTTCCCTACGCATTTCATCTACCAAAGGCATACAGTGCTTTCCTGTTTCCAGTGAATGGGCCTTCTTAGAGCCTCAAACCCAGAACAAAAACATCGTCTTCAAGGAAAAGCCACCTCTCCTCAGGTCTTCACCCACAGCTTCATAGACTCTTAGTAACACACAATTTTAGCATCCTTGGTTGTCCAAGTTCCAAACGTACTGAAATGAGAAGGGGCAGAAATCTGCGGCGGGGAGTTGGGAGGGCTGCCAGAGGCATAAGGGCAGCAGAAGTGACAACTGGCAGCTTGATGTTAAAGGAGGAAGAAAAGCTAGAAAGTACAGTCTGGCAGTGTGGAGCTCTCTGATGATAGGGGCTCAGCGCCACCAAGTTAAGACTCAGTGTAGGCCAGCATCTTCTGTTGAAGAAATCAAAGAATATTCAACATATTTTAGAGGATTTCCATCAAAAATAAGTTTTAGAGTTTACTTGCTGGCATCTCTGGGTGGCAAGAGTGCTGGATTTGGTTCAAGAACGTATTTCCTCATTCACTGACCTGCTGAACAGTGATCTGGCCACCCTGGGCCCCAGTATCCTCTTCTGCAGAAGGTGACCACTCTCATGGGCCTACTGTGAGCACTATCTGAGAGGTATGCAAGAGCTCCAAACAAGCATGAATGCCAAGGATTATTTCTACTCTGGTTGCTGAATGGAGCAAGCTTCAGTTTTCTGGAACACTCACTTATGTGGGACCCAGCCCAGCGGCAAGGAGTTACAGTGCAGGCATTGTCCCCATGCCGTAGAGACCCAGAGAAGAGCAGGCTCTCACCCAGGGTTGCACAGCATGTCACAAGTGGAGCAGGTCTTCCAATCCTGATTCTGGGGTCCTCCTGCCGACCTGGGCTGCCCCCACTTTGCCCCCTGTACGGTCAACCTCAGGGCCAGGCAGGTCCTCACCTCGTTCTCGTAGACCAGCAGCTGGGCTTGACAGAGGAGCAGATAACGGTCTTTCCAGAGCCCCAGGAGGCCCCCGCTGTTCTTCTTGATCCAGCCAGCCTTGTCCACCATCCGCGCCCCCCGAGGCTTCTCGCCCCCCTCCTTCACACTCTGTAAGACAGCACCAGACATGCCATGAGGGCTGCTGCCGCAGGGCCCCACAGTCCACAGGTTACTCAAGGGCCGCAGCCCTCTACTGAGCACCTACTGATATCGTCCCACAAGAGCTTCCCCACCACTCCCACGGCAGCTATCCTTCATCCAGTATCAGAAGTACAGTCATAATAGTAGCCACCGCCTTATAATAAGCCACCCTACTATGTTGTGCACATATCATCTCATTTAATGCACATAACTACCCTCCAAAGCAGTAACATCATTATCCACATTGCCCTACAAGGGAGCCCTCAAGAGGGACATACATAAGACAGTTTGCTCGACTGAATGCCTGACCCAGAGTGAGACCCCAGGAAGTCCCCTCCTTCCGGGACACCAGAGGAATGTTCTAGGATGCTGCCTGAGGAAAGACCCAGGCCTCAGAGAGAGCAGCTCACCTGCCCCATGTGCACAGCTGACCCCACCTGGACAACTGCTGGCCCAAACATACCCTCCTCTATCTGGGAACAAAACATCGGCCCCTCTCCACCCGCTGCTCCCCATGGCTGCCTGACCTGGGTCCCCCTCCCACCCGAAATGCTGAGTCATCCAGCCCCTCCGCAGCTCAGAAAAGCGGGTAACCCAGCAGGCACTGGGTGGGGGCAGCACTTTTGGAACGTCAGCTTCACTGACAGCAAAGAAACAGCCAAGAGCCACTATCACTCGCCTGGTTCCTTACATCAGAAAGAAGAATTGAATTAATAAGCATTTCTCAATTCCTACTCCTGGGCCAAGCTTCCCCACCCCAGAGTGCTAAGTTCTTGAAACTGCACTAAGGTTTTTAATAGTGATTTTTTTTAGGTGCAATTTAGATTTTCACATTTAGGGATGGCCAGATGTGGAGAGGAGGCGCAGAACAAGGCTGGCAGCGCTTGCTGGGCTGACAGCTGGGGGCCTGTCACTCAACTTACAGCAGCTGGGACTGGAAGAAGCTGTGACAACCCCCTTTATTTATTAAAAATATCCCCCTGCCACCGCCAAAGCACATCCTAATCTTGTGACAGCAGCAGTCTAGAACTTCTAGGGGCTGTCTGTACAGTTCATCCCCTTGCCCTCCCTCAGCTGCTTCTCTGCCACCCAACTCCATGAGCCTGGGCACTCAGGGGGGAGTGGCAAGGTGCTTCTCAAAAGCAGCGCCTTTAAACACTTAGATCTGGCTGCCCAACCTCTCTTGGCCTGGGACAGTTATGAATTTGCCAAGATACCCTGAGGCACACTGAGAGAGGATGATGGAAAACAGGCGGGATCCCCCTCCTCTGTCCCCTGGCCAGGCCTTCCCTACGCATTTCATCTACCAAAGGCATACAGTGCTTTCCTGTTTCCAGTGAATGGGCCTTCTTAGAGCCTCAAACCCAGAACAAAAACATCGTCTTCAAGGAAAAGCCACCTCTCCTCAGGTCTTCACCCACAGCTTCATAGACTCTTAGTAACACACAATTTTAGCATCCTTGGTTGTCCAAGTTCCAAACGTACTGAAATGAGAAGGGGCAGAAATCTGCGGCGGGGAGTTGGGAGGGCTGCCAGAGGCATAAGGGCAGCAGAAGTGACAACTGGCAGCTTGATGTTAAAGGAGGAAGAAAAGCTAGAAAGTACAGTCTGGCAGTGTGGAGCTCTCTGATGATAGGGGCTCAGCGCCACCAAGTTAAGACTCAGTGTAGGCCAGCATCTTCTGTTGAAGAAATCAAAGAATATTCAACATATTTTAGAGGATTTCCATCAAAAATAAGTTTTAGAGTTTACTTGCTGGCATCTCTGGGTGGCAAGAGTGCTGGATTTGGTTCAAGAACGTATTTCCTCATTCACTGACCTGCTGAACAGTGATCTGGCCACCCTGGGCCCCAGTATCCTCTTCTGCAGAAGGTGACCACTCTCATGGGCCTACTGTGAGCACTATCTGAGAGGTATGCAAGAGCTCCAAACAAGCATGAATGCCAAGGATTATTTCTACTCTGGTTGCTGAATGGAGCAAGCTTCAGTTTTCTGGAACACTCACTTATGTGGGACCCAGCCCAGCGGCAAGGAGTTACAGTGCAGGCATTGTCCCCATGCCGTAGAGACCCAGAGAAGAGCAGGCTCTCACCCAGGGTTGCACAGCATGTCACAAGTGGAGCAGGTCTTCCAATCCTGATTCTGGGGTCCTCCTGCCGACCTGGGCTGCCCCCACTTTGCCCCCTGTACGGTCAACCTCAGGGCCAGGCAGGTCCTCACCTCGTTCTCGTAGACCAGCAGCTGGGCTTGACAGAGGAGCAGATAACGGTCTTTCCAGAGCCCCAGGAGGCCCCCGCTGTTCTTCTTGATCCAGCCAGCCTTGTCCACCATCCGCGCCCCCCGAGGCTTCTCGCCCCCCTCCTTCACACTCTGTAAGACAGCACCAGACATGCCATGAGGGCTGCTGCCGCAGGGCCCCACAGTCCACAGGTTACTCAAGGGCCGCAGCCCTCTACTGAGCACCTACTGATATCGTCCCACAAGAGCTTCCCCACCACTCCCACGGCAGCTATCCTTCATCCAGTATCAGAAGTACAGTCATAATAGTAGCCACCGCCTTATAATAAGCCACCCTACTATGTTGTGCACATATCATCTCATTTAATGCACATAACTACCCTCCAAAGCAGTAACATCATTATCCACATGTCACAGCAAACTGAGGCTCAGAGAGGGTGCGAGTTGCCAGAGCCACACAGCTGGAGGAGCAGAGCCAGAGTTCAAACTGGGTCTGTGAATCCATGTTCTTCCCGCTCCACCTTTCTGCCCCCTGTGGATTCATTCAACCAGTCAACAAACTTTATACTGAGTGCCTACGACCTCACGGGTGCTGAAGTAGGCAGAGAAGAATAAAAATAACGCATCTCTGCTCTCATACAGCGGGCACTACAGGGAACAAATAAATGCCAGCTGTAAACCCATTAACAAATGTAAAATGCTATAAGGAAGTGGTGAAGGGGGTGTGAAGGAGGCAGGGAGTGAGAGAGAACAGCAAGGTATCTGGTTCAGGTGGGGGGAGCAGCATCTCAGAAGAGGGGACAGAAGAATGGGAAGAAGCAGGCAGGCAGAGCTAATCTGCCTCTCCCCCACTCCCCCCCACCACGGAGCCCACTCTGCAGCCCCTGCTTCCTGCCCCAAAGCAGGAGGTTCCTCTGCCCTCTTCTCTGCCCCAGGCCGGGACTTCAGGATGGCCACCCCACCTGGTGAGGGCTCCAGGACTTTGCCTTCGACCACAACCTGAGACAGGAGGTAAATCAAGCTCTTCTCCTGGACATGGGCAGCTACCCTGGAGCGTCCAGGACAGCCACTGACATCCTGTGACCCTCTATTACCTGCTTGGGTGGCTGGGTGTCAGGTATGTACCTAACTGGATAGGGTCATATTCAGCTCTGATCCCCAGCACTTTTCCTTTACACATAACGGGTGCTCAAGAAATATCTGTGAAATGAAAATAAAAATACACTGAGTTTGCTAACTACTCTGCTTCAGGGACTGTTACCCACAGCAGTGAGTGTGAAGGGGAAGATGGAGGACAGGGGGTCACAAACGTGTCAGAATCTAGAGGATGCTAGAAGGAAATTAGCACTGACTAATTTTGACTACTTTATAATTTACATAAAGCTCAAAAAAAAGGGGCCCCAGTTAGAAGGAGCATGCCTCTCCCCAGGGATACCCTGTGCCCACAGCTGCTTCTGGGAGGACAAGCCCAGGCAAATAGAAGTGTGTGCTGTCACGGGGCTGGGCAGGGCACGGCCTCCCTGCTTTCCGTCGTGGCAGAGCAGCCCCAGCCTGGTTCTCCCTGTGGCCCCCCTGTGAACTGCATACTCCAGGGGTTGGGAGTCTGAGCTTTGAAGCCCAAGTCACACAGACCAGAGCCAAGTCACTTAACCTCTCTAAGCCTGAATTTCTTCATCTGCGAAATGGAGGTATGAACAGAAGTTGCATGGATTATATCTCCATAAGGGCAGGGATTTTTGTTTACTGCTCTATCCCCAGTGCCTAGACAGCTGTCTGGCACAGAGTAAGTGCTCAATAAACGTTTGCTGCCGATTAAAGATACAGTATATAAAGTAGTGCCTAAAATACCCTAAACTTAGGAAATGATAGTTGTCATTTTTACTGCTCTTGTCACTGCCATCCCCTCTGGTTCTCAGGGACAGTCTCCCTGGGCCTGGTTCAGAATTCAGGACAAGGCCTCTCTGGGCTTAGCTGCTGGGCCTCAGTGCCCCAGGAGTTCCAGGAAGGTATGGGGCCACCTCAAGGTCTCTCCCTAATTTGTACATGGCAAGAGAAATGGGGAAGTAGGATGGTCCCAAATGATCTTCCTAAATGGAAGAATGAGGAAGTGGGAGGCTTGCCTACAGGCCAGTTATGAGCGACCCAAACCAGAGAAAGAGAGGACTTTAGGGCACTTCGACAAGAGGGGGAGGGTCTCACATCCTATCATGCACCCCTCCCATCCCCCAACCTCCCCACATCACCAGAGACCCTGTATTCAGGCCCTATCTGCTGTGTGACCCACAGAGACCTCATCCCTTCAGTGAGCCCTACAGGCTGGCCAGGCCCCAGGCTGGAAGGGAAGAAGTGGGAAATGGGAAACCCCACCCCACATCCACACATCACTCCCCTCTGTCAGCTGCTACGGCACTGTTGGCCACTCCTAGGCCTGTGGACTCTTGGTCTGTCTTAAATCAGGCAGTAGGGACTGAGCGATGTAAAGCTGCCCAGATTCCCACCACGGAGCTCCAAGCTTGCCTATCACTTTCAAGGGCCCACCTACTACCCTATGGGATCTTACACCCCTTTCTGAGTTCTCTCCATTTGGACCTCCCCTGCCTGCCTTACCCATTGCCTGACATATGATAACTTCCTGCAAGCTGGAAGCTACCAGAGGGCAAGGCTGGAACCCTGTGCCTTGAGCCCTGTCCTCTCCGGGTGTGGCAGCACTGCCCAGGGACGATCGTGGCTGGGTTAGCTGGAGCAGCAAGTCCAGGGCTTTTAGGGATGAGCGGACCAGGGCAGGGTGGGACTGAGGCTCGAAGGCACTCTGGGACTGGGGGGAGTGACAGTTGAGGGGCTGGGAGTGGTATGAACCAAAGCCTAGGGAGGGTCTCCCTGTCAGGAATCAGCCACATCAACAGTCACCTGAAGGGAGGCCTGAGTCCTCTTTGCTGCCACCCTCCACTCAGCCCTTCTCCGTGCCCCTCAGACACTCTCCCACCAGGGGTCCTGGCTGTGCCCCAGTGAGTTTTAATAAGCAGCCCCTCTGTGTGGCAGGGCTCACAGGGGAGGTCTTGTCCTGCTCAGCCCAGTTTCTCAGCCTCCTCTGCCCTTATTGACCAGCTGGCCAGTGCTCTTCCGGTTTTGCCCTCTCCTCTCCCATCCATCCTCACTCAGGCCCTCCTCTGCCCACTGTGAGCAGCTCCTAAGGCACCCACCCACCCACCCACCCCCCCTTCCCCACACCAGCCTGGCTCCCCTTTGCCTGAGCTGGGAGGGTCTCTGGGTCATTCATTAACAAAAAAGAAGAAAAGAGAAAGATGCCAGGTCACCCTGACCCTGCACACAGAAGAGAGCAGGTAGAAAGCACAACACAGGCCATGGCAGAGGGACAGAGGCCAGCAGAAGAAACCTTGTGGACACCTCACATCCCAGAGAGCTTATAAGCAGCCTGTGCCTTCTGACCAAACACAATGGTGTGCCGACCAAACTCCACCAAGAACCCACCAGTGATGAAGCAATCAGAGAGGAAGCAGAGGAGGCTCTGCCCTGGGGGGACTTCCAGTCTGATGCGGGCAACAGAGACCCTGCACAAAGGAAGTTCCCAGTCTGAGGGCTGGGTGGGCATCCCCTGCTTTTGGGAGCCCCTCCGTCGGGAGGCACATAGCACCTACCCAGAGGAAAACCTCAGGCCTAGGCCTCAGGTGGGTAAGAGCTTAGGTTCGTTTGGGAAGCCCTTGCAGAAGGCAGGGGTTTGGTAGGATTGTGAGGAGGAAAAGAGACACACACCTTGGCCCAGAGGAGAAGGCACAAACGGTATCAAAGTATCTACCGTCTCAACCCCTTCAACTATAGAATGAGAAAGTACCCTCCAGAAAGGGCAAGATTAGCTCAAGACCACAGAACCAGTGCAGGGACAGGATGCTACCCTTCCTCTCTCTAGAAGGTTAAGGAAATGGGAGCCTGGAGTCACTGGAGGCAAGCAGGGAAAGGCATGGCTTCCACAGGGCAGGGAGGCAGAGCCCCAGGGCAGAGACAGGAAGCCTGGTCCAGGGTTTTCAACCTTACTCCAGTGGCAGCAACAATTCCCCACCGATATTTGCATTTTCATAGCTTTTGCATATGTATTATCACATTTCTGGATGGTCCACTTCCCTCATTTTATAGATGGGAAAACTGAGGCCCTGGAAACATAAGTGGACAGATGCCTAGTGTCCAGACCCGCCTACTTCACCAAGCCTCAGCCTGATGGGGACTACCAACCCAGTACACAGAGAAGGTCACTGAGGCTGAGGGGCCTTGGCACCAGGGTAGCTGGGGCACAGGGAGGAAGCTCAGAGCTGGGGAGAGGGCTGAAAGTGGCCATGTGGGAATGAGATGATGAGGCCAGCCTGCGGTGGTGGGGCAGACCAAGTGACTATGTTCTAAGAGGTGTTTGAGAGAAACAAAGATGAGCAGAGACTAGAGAAACGGGGGGTAGTGACTGGCAGAAGAAATCAAAGAAAGAGTTCAAGATGCCAAAGGGGAAGTAGGGGACAGGGAGCCCCTGGCTGTTGGGAGAGGAGGTTGGCAAGACCCTAGATGGCCCAGGTATGCAGGGAGCGTTTGGCATCTGGGAGTCAGTAAGTAGTAATGTTAGAAACTCAGGACCAGAGGGAGTGCAACGCTGGGCTGGGCTGGGCTGACCACGAAACAAACCATTGGCCCAGGAGGCCCCAGGAGAACTTCCCTTAATTGGGGGCCAGAGCAGATCAGGAGATGGAGTAATCCTGTCCCACATCCTCTGGGAGAAGGGGAGGGACCACAGCCAGACAGCAGAGCTCTCACAGCAGGAGCTTGGGGTTGTGGGGGGGGGGGCAGCCCTGCCCCTATTAGCAAGAAACCACAACAAATCAAAGAGGCCTGACTTTGCCCCCTCCTTCCACCCACTCTGAGAGAAGGGGCCACAACCAGTCAGGACTCAGAGAGGAGGCCAGGCCCTATATTTTGTAGAAGAGGAAATGTAGGCTGAGAGGGGAAGTGACTTATCTACCATCCCAAAGAAATGCAGGGCTAGGCCTGCAGGAAACCCAGACAGCCAGCCCAGCTGACTCTGGACAGTGAATGGCTCCAGGAAGCAGGGAGATGGGCACCGCTGGGTCAACAGGCAGCCTGGTCCACTCAGGGCTCCCCAGCTGGCCTGGCTACCCCAAGAGTGAAGGCTTCATCTTTCCTCCCCACCCCTTCTTTCAGGCAAAGACTCATCCCCTTCCCTCAAAGGACAAGAAGCAAAGTCTTCCAGATTCAGCAGGCCCCTCCTCTAATTTATTCATTCCACAGATGTACATTAAGCGCTTGCTGTGTGCTTGGACGCTGGGACTGCTGGGAGAACTCAGTTTGCAAGTAAAGGGGCGGGGCCAGAGCGCCTGACCCCAGCCCAGACCAAGAGCATCCTGAGGCGGAAGAGGGAGGCTCAAGAGGCACTGCTAGTCCAGCTGCCCAGCTCCTCCAGGGAGCCAGCCCTCCCAGGGACGTGGGGAAGGCCAGGGCCAGGATCAGCCCGTATGTGGGCCTGGGGACTCGGGGACTTACACTGCGGAGAAAAATGTAACTTCTCTGGCCTCCAGACACGATCACAGCCTCAAGGTTCCTTGGGACTGGGACTCCTGAACCCACAGACCCCTCCCAAAGCCAAACACAAGCACAAACACGCTGCCTTCAGGATCCGACCTGGCCGGCTTGCGTAGTCAACGGTAACAAGATTAGAGCAACCAAGGCCACTTTCAGCAAGTCCTCAAACTACCCAGGGTCTCAGTGTCCCCGTCAACCCAATGGGAACAATAACAAATCACGATGTCCATCCACAGTTGGTGAGACAAGCCAAAGCGACCAAGGGTCGCCAAAGTGCCGGACGCGGATCCCTACCTCCGCCCCTGCCTCATCTGCCCAGGCTCTCCCTGGGGGGTGGGGGTGGGGTATGGGTGGGGTGTCGTGAGCCCAGCGGGAGAGGGCTGGCTGGAACAAGGGCCTGAGCCCGGGGCCCCAACCAACACGAAGGGCTCGGAGACCCCAGCTCAGGCCCCCCGCCTGGCCCGTCCCTCACCTCCTCCATGGCGAGCCCGCTGAGGTCCCGCCGCTCCGCCGCTCACTACCGGCGCCGCACGAAACCCGCCACCTCCATCCACGGCGGGCCGGGCGGCGACTCTCCGCTTTCTGTCCCGCCAGCCACGGGGGGCCCAAGAAACTTCGGGGGGCGGGGCCGGGGGCGGGGAGAGGCTTCCGGGGGCCGGGGGGCGGAGCCTGAGGAGCGGAATAGCGGGGCCCAGAGGCCGGGGTCCCGGGCGGGAAACGGGGGGCGGGGCCGGGGCTGAAGGCGGGGCCTGGGCGGGGCGGGCATGGGTTCTGAGACGACGGAGGAGCCGGAGCTGGGGGAAGCGGGAGGGACAGCTCCGAGAGAGGTTCCCCCGACGCGCGGAGGGAGAGAGACAGGGAGGAGATTAAGGGTGCGGGCGACTGGGCGGGGGAGAGGGAGGGGGCTTCCGGCCGGAGGCGGTGGCGGGGGCTGCGGGTGGGGCCCGGGGGCGGAGCGGAGCCGGGGTGGGGCAGGACCAAGCGAGTGCCGGAGGCGTTGGCCGCCTGTTCCTTTGAGGTCTCGGGATGGAGGAGACTGTAGTTGCCGGAATGGGCCAAGCCACCCTGGGCGACCCAGAGATGGGGGCACCAAGAGACTCTTCCACTTTCCTCCGTGATGCTGGAGCAGTGGTGACGACTGGGCCTCTTCTTGTAACCTCGTGGCAGGGCCGGGCCTGGAGTCGGTCCCGTCCAGAGAGTCATGCAATGGGAAGACCTGGTGCTGGGAACCTGGACTCTGGCATTCGTTTGGGGCAGGGCGTCTGCCCCTGACTCTTATGGGCCCCCAAACTCAGGATATTGTTCAGAGATGTCCCCCTGTCTGGTTCCTACATCTAAGGTCACCCCCACCCCAACGGTGGTGGTCATGTAGCATTGACAACCTTGCTGAGAGTGGAGTGCAGGGACCACCAAATAATGGTGTTAGTTATATGCGCACCCTCATTTTACAGTTGGAGAAACAGAGGTCCATAGAAAGTGGCTGGCTACATCCCAGCCTCCAGTACTGTCCCCCACCCCATCCTTTTCCTCCTCAGCTCACCATGTGAACCCTGCCCCAGCAAGAAGAATTAAATGCATCTGGGATCAGTGGTGACCTCCTTTGGCTCTGGCTGTCATAGCAGCCACTGCACCAGTTACCCATCTCCCCTTTGACAGCCTTCTGCTGGCCCTCAGGCTCCCAAGCCACTTCCAACCCAGCATAAAAAAGGCAGCCTGATCTACCTACCACTTCAGCATTTTATTAAAAATAAAAATAATAATAATAATAAAGGGAGAAATGTGGGATCAACATATAAATCAAGTACAAAAATCAAACGAATATTCATATTTGACCTGATTGTTTATAGGTCATAATGCGTGATCAAAACC